GGGGGGTAGCTATTTCAAGTGGAATGTTTCATTTCTGTGCTAATAAATGTGGGGCTTAGAACGTTTTGGTTAATTGGAATAGGCTAACAGGAAAGTGTTTATTTGGAAATCCTTACCCTCCAATTTAGAAGCACCATAAGTGCATTACATGCTCCTGTCAAGTGTAAATATGTGTTTTCCTTCCAAATATGCTTAATAATTTTCCTTTTCCGGGATAAGCTGCATTTCGTTAAATTCATCCTTTAGTTCTAGAAGCTAAACTATCCTCTGATGTGGGCATCTGAAGTGCTTTTATAAAACAAGCAGGAACTCACGAAATTACTAATTTAGGTTCCATATCACCTTTACCTGATGGTTTTCTTTCGTTACAGCAGAGGCTGTCACAGGATCAGCTGCATGGCTTGGCAGGGGGTTATCATGTGTTTGTGCTCAAAGACGAGAGAGTGATGCTCGTCTCTCAATCGATTTGACACCTTCACAGGTACACTGATTGAGTCAAATTAAATGACTTTGTCTGAGCTTGGAAACTGTATCCCAGTGTCTACTCTCTCTTGTTCATATTCTTACTAATGCTTTTCTGAAAGCTGCTTAGAAAAAGATGTGATGATTAATTCCACTATGGTGGTTACAGGAGGAATGCTTGCAGAGGCTACAGAGCCGTATAGATGTTGCTTACGATAGTTCAAATCCTGAACATCAGGTAGTTTATTTATTATATGTCATGAAAAAGGTTTGACAGTTTTTTAATCATCATTTTTGCACATCTTTTACTAATTCCGACAGGAAGCTTTAAGGGCTCTATGGAATGCGGCTTTCCCCGAGGAGGAACTCCGTGGCCTAATATCAGAGCAGTGGAAAGACATGGGTTGGCAAGGGAAAGATCCATCTACTGACTTTAGGTATGCAGATTCTTTCCCTATCTCTTCAAATCATTGTGAAGGCTCATTTTAGCTTCAATGTATGAACATTTTGTTTTACTAGCTTCCCATGTGTTATTTATTCTTTTTTTTTTTGTTTACGCATACAGGGGCGGTGGATTTATATCACTGGAAAATTTATTATATTTTGCTAAGAACTTCCCGGTAATTTTTCCATTCTATTCCATGTTTTTTGTACTTGTTGTCTATCATGTCTGAGTTTAGTTTGATTGCTGTTAAACTACTTCCTCATATAGTTCCACATTCAATGCATACATTAACATTACTGGCTTTCCGTCCGTGATATTCCGTGTGGTTTCTATCCTTAGGGTATCAATGCTAAGTTGGCAATTGTATTGATTGTTTCTAGGTCCTCCACATCATGTTTAAATGCCTTTGCATGGCATGGAAATGAGCTTTTGTAATCTAAGAGACAAATGAAACCTGCATTTTATTTCTAAGAATTCGAAATTATGTACATTTTTGTTATTGCTTGTTCTTCAATTTAATATATTTTCACCAGGTTCTTTAAATTTCTCTGACATGAGAACATTACCAGCCTGCGATTAGTAGGTCAGAAAATCTTTTACATAGTGGTATACATATGGTTATTGAGTTCTGCATTTTAATGCATAAAGACATCTAGAAATTTTTCAACTACCATCTATCTATGAGCTATTCTCTTAATCTTTATTGCATCTATTTACAACCTAATATATTATGAACCTTATTGTTGTAGAGTTGTGACTCATGAGAGATCTATACATTTCTTAATCTAGTTTCGAGCAGGAAATATAACACGAACAATAAACTAAATCTATTATACAAGAAAGAACATATAAGGAGATACTCATTGATTTTCTTGACATTCATGGTACTTAATTGTATACAAACCAAACACTCAAGGGGCTCGCTGCAGTGGATATATACTTATGATATGTTATATACTCGAGTTTTGTGATATTATGTGCAATATGATACTTATCAACCAGACATCTTTCTTCCCAACTTATTCACAACACCATTAGTGCATATAATTCACAAGCAATATGCAATTTTATTCTTTCACCGTGGGAAATATGTTTTGGTTGGTTTTAATAGTTTCACTTGCTTCTGATGTAACTTGCAGAAATCCTTCCAGGATCTTCTTCGAAAGCAGGAAGGTGACAGAGCCCTGTGGGAATACCCATTTGCTGTTGCTGGTGTTAACATTACCTTCATGCTTACTCAGATGCTTGATATAGAAGCAGGCATGTCCCTCTTTTTTGCTCCTCCCATTTATTTCTTTTTGTATATCAACTTTTCTGTATACCTTCTTTTCTCCCCAATGGTTATTGCTTCTGCACTACTACTTATCTGATATTTTCCCTTTCTAACTTCAGCACATGCTCAATTATGTATATTCACCTTTTGGGTGATCTGTTAGATTTTACAATGATGATATATATGGCTTCAGTAATTTGTGTTTCGTGTAATTGAATGCATTTTTCAATGGTGCAGTAAAACCACGGAACCTGGTAGGAGCATCATTCTTGAAATTTCTGGCAGGTAAATACTACCAGGCCACAGTTTTTTAACCTTTAAACTCTGCAAAGTTTCTTAATAAATTCTCCACTTCTTCGCTTTCCTCCCGGGATTTATAATACGGACTGTTATGGTTTATGAGGTTATCTGATGAATGCTTAATAAGCTTCTGGTTATAGTCTATTCAGTCTATAGTTGAATCAAGTTGCCATTTGTTGGGCAGATAATGAATCCGCATTTGACCTTCTCTACTGTATTGCGTTCAAGCTGATGGATCACCAATGGCTTGTCATGCGTGCCTCGTACATGGACTTCAATGTATGTGCTTTGTTTTGTTTCCCATTGAGGTAGTCTATATGCTCACCAAAGGGTTAGAATAACAATAACAAAAAGACGTTATTTTCCACAGGCAGTGATGAAGGCTACAAGGAGGCAACTGGAAACTGAACTTCTACAAGACAACGTGACACGGCTCGAAGATTTGCCCTCGTACAATCTCCTCTGCTGATGGTTTTGTACGTTATGTGGCTTTTTTCCAGTTACGTTTTCCAACACGGTACATTAGTTCCATTACATGGCATTTGTCAATGCGCTGTTTTTACATCTTTTGCTTGGACTATAGGTGTTTTTCTCGGCTCGTAAACGACAATTTTTTTTTACACATATCTCTCTTGTAATCATATTATTCTTCTTTTCTGCTATAGAAAGAGTTGCTATAGAAACATGCATTTTGGTTCCTAGACAGATGGATCAGTAGATCTTAAAATAGTAAGTGGACCAAGACAGATACATGATAAGCATCTGTACTAAAATATATGTTCACTACATTGAGGGAAACCGTACCCCACTGTATATATTGGCTTGTCTGTTTGTTTTCATGTACAATGCTACAATCCAAACGTAGAAGGGCACATTCATTACAAGGAACTGTATAGAAGAAATGGTTTATGAAACCAACAAATAAGAGAACCAATTACGAAAAGTATGATTGATTGGTTTGAATTGTGTAATGGGGTCTACCAAAAAAGAATTGAGTCATGGTGATTGGGGATGATGAAAAAAATTAATTAAATTTATCTATTGTCACAGAATGGATTTTATATTGGACCAAAAAAAAGGATTTTATATTTGATTTTTTACTCTCAATACATCACTTTAATTTGGTCATTAAAAATGAGTAAATTCCATAATTGGTCCTTTATAACAGGGGGTTTCCATATTTAGTCTCTATTATCAAATATTACCCCGTAGTCTTTTTTTTAAGGGTACCTTTCCACAAATAGTCCTTTTATTGATCTTCTGCCGTGTTGGTGTTAATTTAAAGGCTAAAAATATAATTTGATGTCAACATTATGTCTAGTGACGTGTTCTGATATTCGTTAAGCGGATAACACAAAAATAATGACTATGATTGTGGGCTAGGATTCTGACGAAAGATCACATTTGTAGACTATAGTTGTCGTAAAAAGCGACTGTAATTCACAAACGACGCAAACAGAACAGCCTTTGGAATTGTGTATGACAAAAAAGATATATTATCATTGTGAAATTATACTTTTAGCCCTCAAATTAACACCAACATGAAAGAAGATCAAAAAAGTACTATGTATGGAAAGGTACCCATAAAAGAAGGACCATTTGGGTAATTTTTGATAATAGATGACTAAATAGGGAAACCTCCATGTTATAAAGGACTAATTATAGAATTTACTCATTAAAAATTTATGTTTATACATAAATAAATATTACTTTAAGTTAAAATATGATATTTCAAAATTACTCTGTATATATTGTAAAATGAATCTAATGCATTTTTATGAGAACAATAATTTGATTCTTAAATTTATATTATAATTAAATATTAAAATTAACCAATTTTGATCAAGTCATGTCTGTTTTATGCATGTACTTCATTTTGATGCTTACACTTAATTTATTTAATACTTTTAAAATACTCCGTAAGAGTTTGGAATTGAAAGGAATATACTTATAATCTTATACACACATACTAAATTTCATACATTTGTCCAACAAAAATTGTTATATACTTTCACTTTCATTGAACTTAAGAAAAAGTATTGGCGAGTAAAATATGTGTAATCGAAATTGAGAGAAAAATGAGATACTTTTGATGTCCCAAATTAAATTCCATAATTATTACGGAGTATTTATAAGGTCAATAATCGTTTACTATCTTTTTATATATTTGTTTCTCATTTGATAAAATAATATTGTCATGTTACCTTTTTTTTTTAATTTTTTTGATATTATTTTTAAATAAATAAATATATATTTTATTTATTCCAAATCCACCTAATTTTCATATAAAATGTATTACTTCAGAGTCAGTCAAAAATCATAAACAAAAATAAGAATTCAATTAAGTTGGGACGGAAGAGTATTTATTTGAGACAAGCAAAAATGAAAAGTGAAACAACTACTCCATATTGATAAAAACCGTTGAAGAAACTCTTTGGGAATAACGTTTTTTAGTAGCATTATCGTTTTAGATAAAATGTAAACGGTGCAGATTAATTAAAAAAATACTAACGTTTAACGATGCTCGTTGATAACATTTTCAAAATGCTAACACTAACCTCTATTATTATTTCCAAACTGGCCGAAGTATATGATCTGAGTTTTGGAAATAATGAAAACATCAAATTTAAATATGTAAGGGTTCCACACTCCAAGGGAGTGATTAATTAAATACTGGTCAAGCCGCGGCCGTTACAATACATTAATTAAATGAAATACTGGTCAAGCCCGACACATTTATCCGGATTTGAATGAGATTAGGGAGGTTATAATTACTACTTAATTAGATCCATCTAAGCACTCTGTTGATACATAAATAAATACCGTATATACAGTAGATGAGTAGAGGCATAGGCAAATTAATTAAAGGCTTTAAAGAGATTAAAAAATTAAGCTCTTTGTTTAAGTATCGTTGCGTTCTTCAAATAAAACGGAAAAGATGATGAAGATGGTTTCCAGAAGAAGATGGATGGTAATTGTGGGGATACTATTGCCTAAGATGTGTGCGTTATTGATGTTTTTATTGCTGCTAGTGGCGCCGCCGGCGTCGTTGTTATTTGGAGATATTTATGTTGACGTGGATTGCCTCGATAAGTGCTTCCCCGGCGGCGGAGACTGCACGGACGGCGACGGGGATTATCTTGAATGCTTGATCACCAAGCTCGACGCATGCTCCGGTAGTTGTGGTGGTGGCTCCTCCGCGGGTGGATCATCGTCTCCTCCGATAATGGCGCTGGCAAGCTGATAAGCTCATTCTGTTCCAACGTATTTGTCTAGTTTAATTTTTTTGAATCAGACTAGATAAATTTTGAGATTTAATAAAACAAAAATTGTAATATATATTAGTATAAAAATAATTTTATTTGACCAAGTGTCAAACAAGGAAATGGTAAATTATAGTTGAGTTTCAATTATATCTTGATGTGAAGGGTAAAAGTAACATGTACTACGTAATAGATAGATTAGTAGAGAAAAAATATGATGTCATAAGTTGGGTAAGAAAAAAAAATATACAAGTAAAAATAGGTTTTAATAGAAAGTGAAAATTTTTTGGTAGAAGAGAAAAAAATGAAAGAAATAGTGTTTTGTCAAACGGACATGAAGTATGAACTATTACGGAGCAAGTTTTATGAATATGTTTCAATGTTTTTTTATGAATTGTCACATGAATCTTTTCCTTTTTATACAAAAGTCTAAATCGTTTATAATGTTTATATATTAAAGTTTATAAAATGAGTGTATATCTATGCATAATGTGAAAATAAGGGGTATGTTTTTTTTCTATTTTGGCTATTTTGGAGCTTATTAATTCACTTACCATCTTGAAAGTTATTGTGAATTCTCAAAAAAGTAAGAATATGACTAGAGGTACCTTTACACTAAAGAGTAGGCTGGGGATTTGGGGACAAATTCTTTAATTTTTTCAAAGATAATTTAAAATGATACTCCGTAGAAAATAAGCAAACTTTATATCAAAAAAGCATTCAAATGACTAAAATAAAAATTTTTAATGTAAAAAATATATAATTTTAATTATATCATAACTTAATATAAATATGATAACTTAAATACTATTTTACCTTAATATTCTATTAAGGTAAAAAAACGTAATTTTAGTTCCTCGATAACTTCTGTGTGTTAGTATATTTTCATTATTCATTGATAAAAACAAAATATTATTGGTGGATCCCTTATTCATCCGGGTCGGGTGGAAATTGCATTCACAAGTTCTTATTTTTCCATCTCTGTGAAACACTAATTGGCTGCAGCTATCGACAATGGCCGGCAAGTCTGAGAGTTTCTTGAAGCTTTACGGTAATACATAGTACTCCGGGGTACATTACATCACCGTCTCAATCCATCATACAGTACATGTTTTACCTGAATCAGTCTTAGCCATTCTAATTTCGTGACAGGATATGATCTGCTGTTGGGGTCGATTGCCGCGTTTTATGTCTTCGCCGCCCCTTACACTAAGGTTGAAGAAAGCTTCAACGTTCAGGTACACCTTAGTTCATCGCTCTCACTCAATTATTTAGTGTCGGATTGGGTTAGTCACTTTTCAATTGAGAATTATGAACACTTATTTGTCGTTTGAGGTCATACCCAAAGATATGGTACCAATTTAGAAATGAAATGGAGAAGAATCAATAGAAACAAGTTGCATTTGAGACAATTTCAATCCTTTCTTGTGTCTTAATTTTGACGGTGTTAATGTTGTTTCGCATTTCGACTAGGCAATGCACGATATCTTATTTCATAGACATCACTTAGAAAAGGTAAATTTTCGCTTCGTCTTTGTGTTTAGTTACTTCTTTATAGGTCGTCTTTATTGATGATGCTATACCTAAATTTGCTACCTTTGTGGTGTAATTCCAGTATGATCATTTTGATTTCCCTGGAGTTGTTCCTCGCACATTTATTGGTGAGTTTTTTTCTTTTGCTTTACCTGCAATTTTAAATGTTTGATACATTGTTTTTTTTCTTTCTCCTCAGCATTTCGTGTATTGCTCCAAGAAACCATTTTTCTTGTCAGGTGCTTTCTTTGTATCGATATTGGCATCTCCCGTTGTTGCAGCAATGAGTTTTGCGCACTTGCCTAAGATTTATAGTCTTCATGTGGGTGAGTTCCTTAGACACCTGTCTCCCGTTCTTTGGTTTTTCGTTTTTATACACCCACCCCCACTCTTAAAAGAAAAAAAAATGATACAATTCACCGGGGAGTTTTCATTAGCCAAAAGAATGCATTATTTTCCATAATTGATTGGCATATGACAGAGTCTGTAGTTCATATATTGCTCATTTCCCAGGTTGACATGTTTCTTGGATTAGACTAACACTAAACCTACACGGTGCATCATAATAGTTACGGTCTTTGCTTGTGTGTTAGGTTTTCTCAGTCTAGTGGTTTTTCATTTTTTGTGCAGTGAGACTGGTGTTAGGTTGCATCACATTGTTTACCTTACGGTTTTTAAGGGAACAGGTATGTGATTTCTATGTAAATAGAAGAAGCTGATAAAACTCACCTGTATGCAATTCTGCAATTACATTACTTCATTCATTTCAGCAATCCTCGATTTTTAACTGCATCTATATGTTTTACTTGTCAGCATTCACTTATGCTTTCTCTCAAGTATCTAAGAGTTCATTTGTTTCATCTCTCATATGGAATATGAAAGACATGTAATAATTGCTTGTTTAAGAAGTGGATGCAAAATGACTCTTTAAACTGCCTATACTTCTTTTATAGTGAAGTATCATTTAGTTAATGCAACTTTTGACACCCATCATGGGTCATTCGAAAACAACCGCTCTACGTTTTAAACATAGGGGTCAGGCTGCCTACGTGATTCCGTGTGGTGCTTGAGCCGGGGGTCTCTTTGGAAACAGTCTCTCTACTTTGAAGTAGGAGCAAGGTCTGGGTACACACCCCCCCTAGACCCTACTCTTGTGGGATTCAACTGAATTAGTGAGTTGTTGTTGTTGTTGTTGTTCTTGTTGTGTTTTAGATGTGGACACCTAACTAGGTTTTCTAGCGTACTTGCTATGGATTTTAGCATGCCCAATTAAGATCACCTCTACCTTATTTCTTTTAGTTTTTCAATTAGTTGGGTAGAAATTAAACTAAGATGATCCTGGTTGTCTAATGGCAGTAATCCATGTTTCCCAAAACTAATATTTGGCATCTACTTGAGTGTGAATGTGCAGTAAATTTCGTTCTTTTGACTGAGTAACCATGTTCTCGGTGCATTCCTGGCAAAGATCTATATATTCTTTCCAATAAACTTTGTTGTGTGCTTTTCAAATTGTTATTTGACAAATAGCAATACAAATAGTAGTCTAAACTCAATTTGGTACTAGCAGATCAGGAAGAAATTTGGATATCAAGTTGAAGCATTTTTTGTGATACTGACAGCTTCTCAGTTTCATATGCTGTTTTATTGCACTCGTCCTCTTCCTAATGTATTCGCATTTTGTTTAGGTGAGACATTTAGGTAATTTTTATGTATACAGTTTTTACTTCTATACTGTCACTTGTTGGTTATTGATTCTTTAGACGTTTCTTTTTCCCACCAAATAAGTTGGATAAATTGAGTTGCTTAAGTTCAACCATGCCTTGATACTAAAACAGTTGTGGAAAGAAAACAGAAATTTCCCTTTTTGTTGATGGTAGAGAAAATTGGAAGCCGCAATTTACAATTAGTACTTTGTGATATAGGCGTTATCCCGACATTCATCGTATTGAAATAATGCATCATCGGCCAAATCACCAATCACATAGTCATGCTTTTCTTTTATATGAGCTCCACACACATTTGCAAAAAAATAATAAGTTTTTTTTGCCCCTCATGGGGTAGTCCAACGGTATTAGGCAAGAGGATTGTAAGAGAGGTCATGAGTTTAAGGAGCAACTTTTCTAAGGTGATATAAGTTCTGGGCGGGACTCATATTTCGGAGAATTCATCTTGGGTGCCATGTGAAATTAAAAACGGATTTACTTGCCTAAGAGTCTGAGAGTTTGATTCATAGGTCCAGGGTTATTAGGAAAAAAAGTTTATCAATTAACATATGTAATTCTTTTTCTTGCAGTTAATTTGGCTTATGGTTTTTTGCTCAAAGGAAGTTTCTATGCAGCGTTAAGATGTTTGGTATGTCGTGCAACCACTTCGCCAGGAAACATGATCTCTACTTATGCATCATTCATTTTAACTTGCAGTATCATCCCGATTTTTGCAAAAAGGTTCTGTAATTCTAAACTAAAATTCTTTTTTATCTTACAAAAATTCGTTTCAGTTTCTAGTCATATAACATCTCTTTAACTTTGCTTTTATTAAGGGTCATTTGTCTTTTAATCATTACATTTATGTTGCTCTAATTACTTGAAAGCTTTCAATTTTTCAGATTTTTTCTACAATCATATTCAGATGTGATATTTTATTGCTTCTTGCTCCATTCGGCTTGCAACTATTGCTGGTATGGTGTGCAAACGTTGTTGAAGCAAATCTACTAAGTTTTATTCCCATAGATTATTTCTCTATTCATATTTTTTTACTTGCAGTATTGTTCCTATATTAATAAAAATGTTCTGAGAGTTTTGATTCGAAAGTGCTAATCTCTTGAAGTAGATAGTGCAAATTTGTTTTGCATGAAGAGTGTGAATTGATGCACTATTATTGTTGCTTAGGAGCACAAATCAAAAGCTGTTGTTTCCTCTTGAGCTGAGAAGGATATTGAAGAATGTTATTGTAAATTCATGCAAGAAAATAACATAAAACTATAAAAGTATGACACGTCATAGGATTAAATTAATTTATTTTAGTATTTATGCTATTTTTTTGGTCTTCTTCTAAGTGCAGACAAAGTCGATCTCTCTGTGGAAGGCAATGAAATGCATGGAAACTGTTGTTTTCTGCATAGGTATGCAAAATACACCGCCTACTGATGTCTGGGTTTGGATCGACTTATGTCTGTTTTTCAGAATTTATCGACATTAATCCAATTCTATAACATTCAGGTCTTACATTATTGGTTGACTCTGTCATGTGGAAGAGGCTATTATGGCCTGAGCTTGAGGTTTTCTGGTTCAACTCTGTGTTGAATAGGAGTTCTGAGTGGGGTGTATCCTAAATCATAATTTGGTTTGTGCTTGGCTTAAAGTCTGCACTCCTAGATATATACCTGAATATTTATGTGTCGTTTAGTTTCTCTTTGCTCCCCCCCC